AACCTTTACTTCAATATCCAGATTTTTCAAGAGAATTTATTTTGACGACCGACGCTTCAGACTATGCGATTGGTGCGGTCTTAAGTCAAGGTGAGATCGGGCAGGACCTACCTATTGCATACGCAAGTCGTACGTTAAATTCTGCCGAACAAAATTATACAACTATGGAAAAAGAATTATTAGCAGTAATTTGGAGCATTAAACATTTTAGATGCTACCTATATGGTAGAAAGTTTAAAATTGTAACCGATAATAAACCAATCACTTGGCTTTTAAACTGTAAAAATCCCGGAAGTAGACTGATTAGATGGGGATTATTACTTAATGAATACGAATTTGAGATTATTCATAAACCAGGAAAGTTTAATACTAACGCAGATGCTTTATCTCGATGTCTAAATATCAACATTATTTCTAAAAATGATACCTTTGAAAATTTTATAGAATATCATTACAAAACTTTAGATATCAATCCGCAACTTGAAATAAAAAATGGAAATCTATTCGATTTTTTTCCAAAAGCAGTTTATTTCTCTACTGATTTGGACGAAAGTAATCAGTTTTCAGAGTCCATAAAAAACAAATTCGATTTCAACGATAGCATAAAATCAAACTTTGAATTATATTCAACTTATAAGTTACAAAATAACAATAAAAAATCCTATTTAATGTTCGTGAAGACTTTTCATTTTGAAAATATTTCTTATAAAGACGTCTTTTATTCATTCCGGAACTTACGTACTGAACTAATCAGAGATAATATAAAATACTTCTATTTACCTGACATAACGAAAAATTCTCCAAATTTAAAACAATCAATGTATTTTGAAATAATACACTATCTTTTCAAGGACACGAATATAAAAATATGTGTTATTAGTTCAGAAAAAATTATTATTAGTTCAAGAGAGGAAATTTCCGCAATTCTAAAAGAAAATCACGATTCAAAACTAGCAGGACATTCAGGTTTTACAAGAACATATAAAAGGATAAAAGAACGTTATAAATGGCAGAACATGAAAACTGACATAAAAAAATATATAAAAAAATGTCCTTCTTGTCAAATAAACAAAACAAATTTCAAACCCAGTAAAGCTCCTATGATGATAACAACAACTAGCGAAAAGCCTTTCGAAAAACTTGCTATTGATATAGTTGGACCTCTTCCAATTACGGAAAACGGATCTAGATTTCTCCTTACGATGCAAGACGATTTAACGAAATATTCGTATGCCATTCCTATACCGAATCATGAAGCAATAACAGTATCAAATGAATTATGCAAATTTATAACTTTATTCGGTATTCCCAAAACTATTTTATCTGATCAAGGTACTGATTTTATGTCCAATTTAATAAAAGAACTCGTAAAATTATTTAAAACTCAGCATGTCACAAGCACACCCTACCACCCTGAATCTAATGGCGCTTTGGAGCGTTCACACCTTACTTTGAAAGATTATTTAAAACACTACATTAACGACAAACAAAACAACTGGGACGAATTTATACCTTCTGCAATGTTCGCTTACAATACACATACTCACTCTTCTACTAACTATACACCATATGAACTATTATTTGGATCCAAACCATTTTTGCCAAGCTCTATAACTAGCAGACCCGAATTTAAATATTCATATGACGATTACATAGGCAACCTAAAACTCAAACTTAACATAACTCAAGAACAGGCACGTAACAACATCTTGAAATCAAAAGAAAAATCGAAGACTTATTACGATAACAAAATAAAAAAAAATCATTATAAAATAGGAGATATGGTTTACATTGTAAATAAACATATTTCCCCTGGTCTAAATAAAAAACTGAGTCCTAACTTTAAAGGCCCATATAAAGTCACTAAAGTTTTCAATAACAATAATATTCAACTACAAATAGGAAAAAAAATTATTACGTATCATACTAATATGATAAAACCTTTTGTTTCAGATCAAAGCAACAATGATTAATAACGCTAATCTACTGTTCCTACTTGTACTAACTTCCATTTCCGTTTGTGTTAGAGGCGATAATTATCACATTACTAATCTCCACGATCATGCCGGTCTTTATTATAATAATCTTGGCCAAGTTAAACTTTCAAATTCTAAATTTGTCCTATTTACTCATCTTAATGTAACTGGATATGAAAAGAAAATAAAATTTATTTCTGGAATATTGAAAAAGTCATTCGATCTATGTTATAGTAATGAAATTGTTGAATCTGAAAATTTTCTATGCAAAGATACTATAAAAGTCGTCCAATCTCGGTTTAATAAATTGCTCGGAAAATCTGAAGTTGTCAGCGAAATAATCGGTACTAATACGAAAAAGACTAAAAGAGGAATTTTTGATGGTGCTTCTTACGCATTCAATTGGCTATTTGGCATGCCTGATGCCGATGATGCTAAATTTTATGACAAATCGATAAAAACTCTAATTCAAAGTAATAGAAATACACAACTTTTGATGAAACAACAAATTGGCATAATTTCTAGTACGATATCTAATTTTAATTCTAGTATACGAAATTTTAAATGTAGGTAGTCAAGAAACTCTAAACTCTAATATTAAAATTTTCAACTCCTTCTCAGCAGATACCAATAAACGTATTCACGTAAACAAACTGAAACTTATCATCAGTTCACATATTGCCTTACTCACACAAATATTAGAAGATCTGAACGAAGAATATGATTTATTAATCTCAGCTATAACAATGGCCAGACATAATATCCTACATCCAAAAGTTATAACACCAAAACAATTATTAAATGTACTTTCGGAAATCAAATTGAACAACGGACTTCAATTACCATTCCCAATATCTTATTCAACTATTTACAAATATTTTGAGATCAGTAAACTAAAAGTTTTTCATTCTGATAACATAATTATTTTTGCAATTGAAATTATTGCCACTTCCAACACCTCATAATTTTTCTGATATTCATTCCTATATCCTACCTGATTTTCCTTACCTGCTGATAAGTATTAGTAAGGTTAGTTATGTGCAAATGAAAGACCTTACCAAGTGTACAAGGCTCACAGAAGAGGAATTCATCTGCCAAAACACTCAAGCTACAAGGATTCAAGAACCTCCTAAGTGCGAAGTCGCATTGTTTACATCATTTTCTACCAAAATCCCGGCTGACTGTCATACCGTTACTTCCAAAGCAGACTTCGAGATATGGCATCCACTGAGCGACAACTCTTGGCTTTTCGTACTATCGACGCCCTTACAGCTTACTCTGGCTTGTGATAATTTTCCAATCGAAGATATAAAAATTGCATCAACAGGGCTGTTAAGTTTGGAACCCAAATGCAGAGGCTATACTCAAAATATTATCTTGGAAAGCTCAGGAATCATTACACGGAATATTTCAAAACAAATTTCAGATATCAATATTGCACTTGACGATTGCTGCTATGCCAAAGAAGCCAGATTCAACAACACACCAATCACACTACAACCAATAAGACTTTCCAATATCAAATTGGTCGATTTACAGTTTGCGAATCACAAACTTGGACAACTGGACCAATTGCTGGATGAAGAATTGAAGAAGCCATTTATTATTCAACACTCTCATTGGTTCATTATCATTATTTCTTTTATCGCGTCAGTTGTTCTTTTGGTAATAGTGTACAATTTTCTTAAGTGGTGCGGATTAATATCATGCATTAAAAGTATGTTTTGTTGTACTAAAAGCCCAAAGCACATATCGGATTCCTGCTGTATTAAGCTTTTCAATACAAATATAAATACCACTCCAGGGACAAGTCAAAACATATCAAGAATTCTAGAAGAAGAAGCCAGAACAAAAATGGGCGAAGGGATTGAACTAAATAACCTTCTAAGTTCCAATGAAGCAACCACATCCACTACGAATTCCATGTCCATGCGAAGATCAGTCACCCCAAGACCGTCCATAAAAATGTCTTAGTAAAAGATATGTTTGTATATTCTTAGGTATAAGTTAGTTTACATTTTTTTTTTCTCTTTCCTTTTTATTCCTACCTTTATATTAAGTTAAGCTTCATATTATTTTACGTTAGTTTTTTATAATTGTATTTCTTAAAGGATTTGTTTTGAAGAAATTTCTTTATGAAAATTTCTTTTTTTTTCAAGGGGGAAGTGTCATATTCCTCCATAATATCATGACATTGTACCTTTTACGACCCTCGAATACTTTCCCAAATAATGTCTCGCCGTCGCCGAAAGCAATACTATTATATGACCCAGACTTTCTGTTAAAGAACCCAAAGATATTGTATGTAAATAAATTAAACATTTGTCCACCATAAACCCCAAAATTCCCAAATAATGTCTCGCCGTCGCCGAAAGAAATATTATTATATGACCCAGACTTTCTGTTAAAGAACCCAAAGATATTGTATGTAAATAAATTAAACATTTGTCCACCATAAACTCCAAAATTCCCAAATATCCTTAATGGTCATTCTTTGGGCGAACAGACTGTCATTTATTGCCAATATTTATTTAGGGTTTTCCAGTTGTAATTATGTAGGTTTTAGAAACGTTTTAGAAGGGATGTAAAGGTCGATTTGTAAGAGATCTAGTGAAGCAAGAAGTCAGTCTTAAGACAGCTTCAGTCGTAGTAACACATTTTGTTAAAACTCTCTCTAAAATAAGTCTTACTTTTGCTGTAGTTCAATTTCATTCTATATTCCATTACCTAATAAAGCTACAAGTTTCAAACCAAAAACAAAAGTAGTTTTAACCAAGGCAAAACACTGAAGGATCACAACAGTATATAAGTAATTCCTCGATAATGTTAAATTAGTCAGTTGAATTTTATTGTAACGATTCATAATTTAGAGATAGGTCTTGAATTTGTAATTTTTAAGTCAGAAATAATTTTTTTTTTAACGTTAACCCGGTCTACGACGTGTTAACTCGTGGAACATTGTTTCATTGTTGTGACAATTCTTTTCCTATCAACCTATTTTGAATATCTATCATTATGACTTACCTCTTCCCAGACAAGTTGTTTGCTGACTCCCGGTCGTAAGTTCATAATTTTCAGCTCGGCAGCTCTTAGCACTCCATCAGGCGTGAATTCTAGATTTGGCCTCCCTTGATCTGCTTCAACGCTTACATTTCGTAAATACTTGAAGAATTGGTCACCTGTATCCCACCTGGCCGCACCTTCACCTTCACACGACAAATGAGTTGTGAGCGATCTATGTCGATTGGTTGAGTCTGCGAGAAAATCCTCCACACCGTATGCGTATACCTGAGAAGAAAAATATTTTTTAAATATTTATAGATAAATTTATCATTTTCGTAACATGTTCCATTTCTTCTTATTTCCATTATGAAGTTGTATTTTCGCCGTTTCAGAATCAGCTAAATAATAATAAATCATAACTTAGATAATTTGTGAAGTATCTAACTCAATTTAATTAATTCAATATAATACCAGTATTGCCATCTATCCATAAATAAGATGAGCAAGAAAATGCAAATATCTGTTATTGAGAGAAGTACCTACTAACACACCGCCATCTAGTACCTAATAAATTTATTTTTAAATTGTGATAGGTTTCTTCAACTATTTTTATTATTCCTCATTGACAGTCATTGATACTTTCATTTGAAGAAATTATGTTTATCCTGCTTTCAGCATATGAGTATATTTCTGTCTTTCTCTAACTTCTGATTCTGAAATGATTATTTTTAACTTCATGACCCAATTAATTAGTGGTTTTGTGTTTCTAACATAACCTTAATTTAAATAATTATAATTTGTAAAAATTTGAAATAATTCTAGTGTGTTTTTATCTATTCCCATTTAATCAGCGTGGTGTTTCATTAACGACGTGAACACGGTCTTTTGTGTGTGTTGAGTGTTGTCTTTTGATTGGTTCAATGGTTACTACGCAGTTAACTATAAAAAACACAAGACTGGTTTTCCTGTAGGATTTTTGGTTCTAAAAAGCCCTCTTCTTTTGCAGACCGTTGATCAGGCAAGTCGACTTTTACTTTGTTTTTATTTATTTTTTCCTCTTCAGATTTCTAGATTTCCCCTTAATATTTCTCGTTTTATTTCACTATCAAAGTCTACTATCACTGTTGGGTTTTTATTACCTGATAGATTTTATCTTATCTACCTTTAAAATATAAATATCTAATTTTAATTTTTTTTTATCTATTGTGAACCTCCATTTTGTTTGGTACCTACCACATTTTTCTGAGGAAAGTCAATTTAGAGTTTGGGCAAATAAATAGGCGTTGCTGATTTGGTTTTCGGAATCAATTGTTAGTGTGGGATTATTGGAACATTTGCTCTAAATAGAGTCGGTGTAAACTAAATTTGTGTGTCCATCCCTATCAACACTTTGACGAATCCAAGCAGAAGCCTGTCTGGCCATTTATTGTTTGACTCCCTCATTATCTTCTCGAGTAAGGAGAGTGCTGAGAGGGTGAAATTTTAAGATTGAAATCCGGATAGGCTAAATTCATTTAAAAAGTTATAATTAAAACATCTCAAGAATTTTGACAGTTCCTTGGATTTAATTTATTTCACCCTCAGCTTTATCCTGTAGTACCAATAGTAGCTACCTCAACTTAAAAGGAAAATGTATCTATTTGGGGAAAATCTAGAAAATTATTTTTTTATCTTGTTCAATTTTTACTAAATTTTTTTCAATTTTTGGCTGTTCAGCACGACTGCACGAGAAGCAGCATTTTGCTGATTGTTAACGAGCATCTATTTTTAATCTTGCTTGGTACTCAATTATTGCTACTTTATTTTTCATATTTTATTTTACTCTTTTTTTTCGAATTATTTAATTGTTTTTTTATAAAAATATTTTTCGAATTTGCAATAGTTACTCATACCTGATTCTGTTGGAAAGAAGTGTCTGCATAACAATAAATTTATAATAAACTAATTTCATATCAATTTTTTTTTTCTTCGCAAGATACTCGCTTTTTAACAGAATTCAGGAATTTAATATTCCGACATTTGGTGAACCTGATACTGTAAATTCTTTTCTAGGTACCTATTCCTCAAAATCATCATTTGGAGTCTGGATCAGCTAGAGTGACGTCACACCAGCAATCTATCCTTGTTCCTGAATATAGGAAACCACCTGAAGAGCTCCGGATTGGAAAAGGTACATACCGTATCAGTGTCACCGAAAAAACCAAACTGTTAACCGTCAAATTTTGAAAAGTAACTTGTAACTAACAGTATTACGTACATTGTGGAAATAAAATTACCTATTGTTTGTTGGAATTTGAGTGGTTTCATTTGAACATAGAGGGGCTACACGTTTTCTTTATTTTTTGAATTCCACGACCCTATAGGTTCTGTTGCTCTAAATTACAAATAAGTAGTTTATTTGTAACGATAATCTATACAAGAACTTGACTGGCCCAATGCATAAAATGAAAAATGCATCTTTCATGATAAGTATGTAATTTGATATTAGAGAAAGAGTTAAATGGAACAAGAAGGCCTTAATGATCTTATCCAAAATGAAGTTATAATTAGTAAGGATAGTAGTGAATGAAAATATTACAAACTTACTGGAGCTATTGCTAATGAGCGCAAGCCAAATAAGATGCACGAGATTGAGTGGGGCATGAATTAGAAAATTGGCATGATGATGAATCAAGTTAGTATGTATTTGTGCCAGGGACCTTATCCAATGAAATTTAGCACGGTAACCCAGAAAACATTCAACCAGTAGTCAGAAATTCAGTACGACCCAGAAACGCTCCACAGTTTGAGACAGACTATGTTACATGTGTTCATGTCGGCCTGACAGTATTGAGGACATGCCGTCGATAGTAGCCGTGACTTTTTCCTGGCCTGATGCCCAAAAATGGAAGGGAGTCATGAGTCATGTATTAGGATGCGTTCGTTCAAGGAGAACGAAGCCTGACAGTTCGTGAGTGTAATTGGGTGTTTAAGGTTAAAAAATGCAGTGATAGTCTAGATTATAGAGCAAGATTGTAAGGACCTTTCATCAGAATAAAAGTCCGCCCAAAATTATCCTTAGCTATGCTCAGCGTTTGTTAGCTTGGGGCGGCTCGTGCCGCTACCGAGAGGCTGTAGTAGCCAAAACGATTTCCCACGCAATGCACAGTCTAGTGTTTGTCCATTATTTCGCGGGCGCCACTGGACTGTAGAAAAACAATTTAAATGGTGATGTTCAAAAATAGTCAATCCAGACAGTATCCAAAATATTTTTATAATAGAATTAAAAAGATAGGTAGTATGGTTAAAAATCTGAAAAGCAAACTCAATTCATTACTTGAGTATAAACTTTCCCAAATAGACACAAAATTTAAATATAAAAAAAATTTATTGTATATTCAAGGTTAATTACAACAGTTTAGTTAATGGCAAAAATAAGATGATCACATTAGGTCTCTACATACCTATTTGAAACAATTTTACCGGTATTATCCACTAGTTAAATAAATAGATAATACAATGTGGTTTTGTCGATCCGATTAGATCTCAATGTAGCGTTTCAAGTTGTCTGGGTAGGATCGGAAAAAAAAACGCAGAAGTCTGGTTTTTAAAAATGTCGATGTTTGGCAAAATCTATTTGCATCTTCAGGACATAGTGGAGGCGCATAGGGAATTTTGTGGGAACTTATTGATTAAAGTTGGCAAGGTAATTTTTATGTTCAATTGTATCATACCGAATACTAAAATGTTTCTTGCCGCCCTGAGATACGCGTCATTCAACTCCCACTCCCCCAGAGGGCTGGAATTTTTAAATAGCTCCATCTTTGGAACCAATAAAGATAAAAATATCGTTCTTACAGCAGAATTTATGTCTTATAGTGTAGAATGAAATTGTTTACGTTTTTAATGAAAAATTGAAAAACTACAAATTGAAAAAATCACTGGATGCACAAGTTGAATAATTAAAACAATACTTTGTTGGTATTGTTGATAATACAATAACAAATACATATATTTTATTCAGATAACACTATAGACCTATAACTAAGGATACAAATATATCCATGTGCATAAGTCTGCGCATAACAGAATATTGTGAACAGAATAGAGACTTATTCACTCTCCGCCACTGCTTGGATCAGAATCGGGCTTAGCTTCTTCGGATGTTTGATTTCACATGTGCATATTTCAGTGCATTTTAAGTTATTCGCTACACATTTGCATCGTCTTGTACTGCATCTATTCTTCTTGCAGGAACAAGATATTAAATTCAGGTCATCTGGTGCAGTATTTAAAGTTATAGGATTGGATTGAATAAATTGTTCGTACCAACCAAAATCCAATGGATTTAGATAGAGCACATGAGTTAAATGAGCATGTGTCTATATAAAAAACTTGTAGCCTCGATCTTTGTAGCTGATCACTTTGCATTTGATGTTTTGGAAAACACATGTTTTCGGTGCATAGGTATAATGAACACACTAACTCTTCTATATCAGAAACTATATTGTCCAAGTTGATAGTGATATCACCAATATTTGCCAAAAAGTTAAGCGTCCCTTCATAAGAATTCTTGCAAGCTTTCTAAAACGTTTGTTTTCCTGAAAAAAATATTTGGTAAGTGAATGAGACCACCGTGAAATTGGGTTAGATGAGATTTATTGAACAGAGATAGCGCAGAAGCGTCCTCTACCACTGCAACCTTGTCAGATTTATTGTGGTATCTCCTGTCTGATCTTAGAGTGCACCGTCCAGACTCGTCCTTCTGATAAGACTCCAGAGCAGGGAAACTGGTCACTCGATATAGCTTGCCGGTTTTGGCTTCTCCTCACCAACTTTTGTGAACCTGAGCCTGCATAACGCTTCGCGATATCACCACACATCTACGGCAGTTTCTTCCGCCTCCTGGCAGAATCGCCATAGGCTATCTTCTGCCATGCTCATTCTTTCCAGGTGCTTATTGAAACTCTACAATGCCCTATTAATTGACTTAGCATTATCCTTACAACCTTACGGCTATGGCTTAGTAGGTCTGATGTGAACTTGGGCAAGCACGGTGAAATTGGGTTGACCTTTCCTTGAAAATCCCCCAGTAGTATCACCACCAGACAACGCATCTAGGGTGGGTAGTGCCACTCTTTGTAGTTTCGCCATTTTTTCTACTATAGCAGAAATAAGAATTTTCCGTTCTTTGGGTCCAGTTCTCGTGTTGAAAATAACTTGACAGTTGAAGATATCTTAGTACCTACTTCAAAATCAAAATGAAAACATC